TTTGGGAAAAGATACTTGCCAATGTATATTTATTAAAATATATTTGCCAACGTACTTATATCTGTTCAGGATTACTTACACATTGCAGTTAATGCGTTAAAAATGTCTGCAGGTTTCGGTATTCGAATTCAAATTCGCACCAGTATCGCCGAATCGAGACGGAAATAAACAGGAGTCAGGCGGTCATGTAGGAGTCAAACCTACGTATTAAATTAAGCTTAACTACAAGTTAACCAGATAATGAAAAATCGGGTCTTATTATGGCAAAATGATCTACATCTGTTTATAATATTTAGGAGAATGGGAACCTAGGGAGGGGGGTGGAGGCGCAAAATTTTGATCTCGCACCAGGCGTAAAGATAGTTAGTTACGGCACTGTCAAGATTGTACAAAATCCCCTGAGAACTCCTAGATTTTCCAGATATTTCAATTCAAAATTCCAATTTTTAATAAAATGTTGAAATAAAATAGAGTATAAGCGCAATGCAAATTGTTATACTATAAAAGACCAAAGGTTCCAACAGATTAAATCTATTCCTTCTTTTTATTATCAAGGAAAAATGATCAAAGAAACAATTTTTACAGAGAGAGAAAGAGAATTAAATAAAATTCTATAGATTTTTTTGAATGTCAATTGCACAAAAATTTTCGATTTTCAGAATTTTCTTCTCAAGATTAAAACAAATAGTCTTTGAAAATTCTAGGTTCCTCAGATAGTAAACATCTTGTTGTACTTTATAAAATATTTTACCTGGCAAGCCATTATGGGCGAGAGACTATCCATTTCATCGACCAGTACTAGATTTCGGAGCGGTCGCGGGGCGAAGAAGAAAGTGTCTCCTTCTTCTAACGGCATCGCCGAGCTGAATTCAGGTTCGTCATCGTCGTCTCCGAGATGCGCTATTTGATACAGGTAACTAAAAACGGACAATGTAATTGCGCCGTTCACAGTAATTTAAACGCATGTGCTAGGATATTATGATTTACGGTACTAACTGATTGCCAAATTCCGAGGCGACAAATAGGAATCCCGTTTTCAGAACGCACATACTCGCTGCCACGGGTACAGTATCGAAGTACTTCAGCTTGATCTCAGTGACCATGTCTTCGTCCGTCTCGAGGGTGATCTTGAAGATATCACCCTGCTCCGTCTGCGCCAGAAAGAAGAACATACTCTTTGTTTTGTGTGTAGCTGAACACACGAATATCATCCCTCTCTCGGGATCGTCTAAATCATTACGTCGTCGTGGAATCGGACAACGTATGTCGTGCTGATCCCCGAGGTTCTTGTATGTAAGATAATTTTCGGAGCAAATGAGCACACCACTCGGGCCGTCATTACCGCCAGGTACAGACACAAGAAAATTAGCGTGTTCCTCCAATGGTTCGCTGTACTTTCGCACTACGTGATTCAGACCAAGATCAAGCTCATACAGCGTAAGTGTTTGCTGCGTTTTCACTGCTGCGTCGCCCGTAGGGTCGCTGTCGGCTTCCTAAAATAACATTTGTATGAAATCTATCAAATACACGCGCTTCATATACAGATAAGATAGCAAATCTGAACAAGTATAAATGAATAGATGTAATCAATGTTAATCAGTTGAAACACAATAATAATCAAATGATACTTAATATCGATAATATCAAACATAAATAGAAATAAGTATATAGCCACAACGCAAGATGTCATTTACAAAAGTCATATTAAAAAAAAAGTTTTGATCAAGTTTTAACCATTCTCAGTACATAAAAATCAATCATATAAAGAATGCGCAATATAAAACAATGATAATCGCTGGATGTTAACAAGATTTACAGTGTATAACATCAGAAAACACGAACAATAAAAATGCAAAGATTAGAAGTGCATGTCTTCAAGTCAAAAAATAAAATTTTTTTATACGTGTATTCTTATTGTACAGTCATAAAATAGTTGTGTTCATTCAAATTGTTTGGAAATTCTTATTTGTGATCATACAATGATACAATTTATATGCTCATTTCTATTTATGTTTGTTTATCATTGAGCCACCTTTTCACACTGCTTGACTATTTATCGATAATATCTATTATGTGACAAAAAATTAAGTAAGTTTACCTCGTAATCAATTTCTAAACACGCAAACATAGGATTTTCAAAACCAACGTCGACACCAACTGTATGATACACTAGTGTGTTACTTTTATGAGCTTCCAATGGAGAAGAGATTGTAAGACGGGCCTCGGCATCTCTGTTGAGAATGTACACAAGTTTCTGCTTTTCGATAGCACCTAAAACAAGAATATCAAAATGTAACATCCCAAATTTGCATCAAGGCAATTGTAATTGTTGTCTATAAAGTACCATCATTAGTAATGAAGTTGTAATCAATGTTAATCAGTTGAAACACGGAAAAAATAATCATATGGTACTTAACAATCATATATAATTTATTTGGTACAATAATATTACAACTAAAAAAAACAAAGTTTTCCAAAAAATAAGTTTAAATGATTTGAATTATTTTAATAAATTTAATATATTACTTTAAAATTTAATTTTTTAATTTGGATTAATAATACAATATATTGAACAGAGAAATAAAAGAATATATTTCTAACATTCTTCCCTTTTCTAAGTTTTCTTTTTTCTAGAAATAATTAAAAATGTTTACAAATTTTAATTAAATTTGATCATGGATTTTAAGAACTTTTAAAAATAACAATTTTTTAGTTGTGTCATTGCAGCAAATAAATAACGTGTATATTATCCTATGAAACTTTATTGTTAAATTAGAGATAAAAATATCCTTTGATACAAATGATTGGATCATTTTTATTCTGCACATTTCTTTTTTTCAAAAAATTAAAAGCACTAAATAATCAGTCATAAACATTTTATATATAATTTGTTAAATATACAACTTTATAAATATTTTCTAAAGAGTTCTGAACAAATTTTTTAATTTATTGACTGATCAATTGCATTATACACAAATGCAATTACTGAACAAAATTATATTATACAATGCAATCAATGAATTAAAAAATTTGACCCTACATGTAAAAATCACATGAAGCCTGTTTTTTTTCAGCTAAATTTCTTACATAATTCATCTTTTTTCTTTTTTCCTCCATTGTAGAAAGAAAAGAAAGAAAAATGAATTACGCACGAACTTTAGCTAAAAGAATAGACCTTTACTAATTCTTATATATTTATTAAAGTGATAAAAATGAAAAAGAACATAACTAATCCATTCTGTGTAACAAAGGATTGGAAAATCATGTATATTATTAAAGAATATACACCATACCTATCATAACTGCTCTTCCTTTTGGATCGATAGCCAGATATTGACCAGGGACAATGCGTCTACATCCACTTTTGCCAAAAGTCTCTTGATGTACCTTCTCAAAGCTATTTTTGGCAGGAATATACTCCAGTATGACTATACGCCCAGAATCTGATCCCACAACAATATAATCTTTTGTCCCACCAGTAAGTCTGAACGCCATGAGAGATCGAATGATGCCGAAAACCTCAACGGTCAACAAAGTGTGAACCTTTCCTGTATTCGGATCTGGTCGCAGCAATTCTAACGATTTGCCACGGGACACGAGAATCTCCTGCATTTTGCTGCCAGAGAAATTACCGTGCACCGCGTGCGTGATACCCGTGGCACGTTGGAGGGTCAGATTGTACAGATACATTTTGGCCTATTGGATTGTTGTGTTTTTCTATTCCTTAGTTGACTTTCTGAATTGATAAATGAATGGAGGGCTTATGCTCTCAACGAAGGTCTCTGAGAGTCCATACTCTGAAACGACATGAGCACTTCTATTTAATAATTCGACACGACGCGGACCATCGTTTTACTCTAAAATTAACTCGAAATAAATCGTTAACACAAAAATAAAGACAGCTATGTGAACGGATGATTGCCAGGAATGTTATTTTACCTCGATCGAGCCTTTAACGTGATGACGCTCGACGATGCCTCCGGATTTTGTCGCCGTGATTGAAGGATGGGTTGTACTCACCGCTACAGCCGTTACGAGAGAGCCGGGGAAGACAAACCAAATCCCGTTGGCGGCCATTCCTCTATTATTTCGCCGGAAACGACGCGCGTCTGTCTGTCGCTATTGGCTGTAGAGACAGTAGTTATGCAATCAAAAGCACAGTTGGACATCATTGGTTATTATCGTTGGATCCAGCCAATCATTACAGAGGATATTATAGCGTTGTATATTTCCTATAGAAAATTACGTTTTCTAGAGACTTGAATTAAGGAAATTTTTGTCCCTAAGAAACAAGATCTCCTATTGGATATCACGTGTTGGATAAAAAATCGGTTGTTTCTTTTTGATTGATGAGATATATTAAATATTTATTAAATGAAAAAAAAACTTAGGATAACTTTTTGTGAAAAATTAAAGTAATAAAGTAGCCATGCAGCTATTTTTTATCTAATTTAATCCTTTCTAAAAATTTATATTTGTATATATTATATTTAAATTTTAATAATGAAATAATAAAATTTAAGTATTATAAAATGTATTTAAAAAATAAAAGAAAAAAAGAGAATGTATTTATTTTTCTTGTCAATTTATTTTTAATCAATTATTAAAAATATAAATATATTAATTTATATTTTATTTTTCCTATTAAGTACTATAATTATTAAAATCACAGATATGTACAAAATCTGCAACAAATTTTATAACGAACATGTTGTTGTAGAAAATACTTAACTTCTATTCCGCTCAACATTTTTATAGAATTAGAATGAAACGAATCCTAACCCTTTAATTTCAAACGAAGTTTTCGATAGATTGATATTGTTCCATAATTTATACAGAGGGATTAAGAGCTGCGTAATTTTAATGGATTCAATTTTCAATTTAGTAAACAAATATTTCCATTATATTGCCGATAACTTTTATCGTAATTATATTACTCAATCGTTATGTATGGAAATCTATCAGCATCGAAATTTGAATTTATTAAAATTTAACGCAGTTCTTAATATACCTCTTATTTTAGCATATTTGATTCTAAATTCTTTATATTTTCGAATGCGTCGCGTTGTAATCGGAATAAACTGATTCCTTTTCGCTAGAATGATTCTTCTGCATCGGTTGTATTGACGAAAACGTGTACTTATATACTTGCGGCACCAAGCATTCGAGTGCTATGTGAGTGATAGCGCCGGTAAAACCCCAGACACGGTATTTTCCGCCCGTGTAACAAGGCAGGGTCACAATTGGTTGGCGGAAACTCGTGAAACGAATTAGCTCAGGATCGCACAATTTTTGCAGACTGACCACGAAGGCTTCTTCCACCTCGTCAGGATTGATCTCCAATTCCTCCGGCACCACCTCGCCGATAAAGGCCAGAACCGGCATCACATTAACGTCGGACTTGCCAATGAGATTCCCTGTGGTCCATACGTCGATCTTCTCCCTGGGGATCTTCAGCTCCTCCCAAGTCTCTCGCAAAGCAGTTTCTTGCAGATCTACGTCGCTCTTGTCATGCATACCACCCGGAAAGGACACCTACAACAGATATCTTTGAGAAACTTATAAAAATAAAGTTTGCTGTTATTTTCAAATTAAGTTTAAATACTCGATTGTGCAAGTTGTATTTCAATAATTCGACAATTATATATATATATATGAGGCTGTATAATGAATATAAATTCAAATAATATAAAACATGATGAGCTATATTCGATACTTGTTGAATGGCTATAATAATACAAGCGAAGTCAATAACTAAAATCCAAAAAGTTCTAAATTTAGAATATAAACTTAATGCCAACTAAAAGTAATGTAACATTAATGTTATAATTTCATATTCAATGCATAATAATTATTATACATACAAAATGTTATATTTACATTGTTGAGTATGAATAAATTATAACATTGATATCATATGTTATTATTAATTTTGATATTTACTGGGAATTTAATATATAAATTTATAACTTTTAAAGTATTTATATAGATTTTAACAACCAACTGACTTGTCCTCGATTGGATGTGAGCTTCATGGATCGCAGAGTATATAATAATCCGAGTTCTCCTTTATATAAACATAATGGGACCAAGACGGCTGCTTCTGCAGCTACTTCAGGCAACTTCGGTACCCAGAATGATTTAAATTTTTCGATGCAAGTCTTGCGATTGTTCTCCGAGAGCACCACCTCTGCCTTCAAAGCGGAATCGGCCATATCAACACGTTGTTTGGATGCTATGGACTGTAAATAAAAATACTTAAGATACTTTTATATTTATAAAATAATATACAATATTTTTTTTATTAATTATTTTTTATATTGAAACTCTTTGTCACGACTGATTCAATTTTAATTTTTTTGAATGACATTTCACTTCCAAGAATTTAGAAAGATAGTATATAGAATAAATATACGTTATACTAATATAAATTAGATGTTATATGATAATGTGTGTATGTTCCAAGTTGATCTTTGATTATTTCAAATTTCCCGCCGTTGACTCTAATAGGTCTGCTCGTGTTGCATTGTTGTACTCAAAATTTTCGCTTTTTCTTTCGCTCGAATATATATTTATTTCATTTAATGTATAAATTTTTAAAAATTGTAAAGAACACGAACAAATCTTATATCTTATAGGTTTATTAGTTTAAAATACATTTTTTGTATTTATAAAATGAACTAGAGTATATGTGTGATTTAGTGAAAGAACGAAGAATAAAATACAGTGCTTTGTTTAAAAAAAATATATATTGTTTGAATTTGTCAAAAAAACAAGATCAAAAGTTTTAATGAAATTCAGTTTAATTTAATTTCGCAATAAAAAACCTCTTGTCCTATTTGCGATAAGTTTAGTAACACATGGTGGCGGTCTGACGCAAATGCGTTATAATACCCGATATGCGAGATTACCTCTCATAAGATGCTGACGACGTTTTGTGAGACACTTACGAAGGCACGTAGCAAAGAGCGCATCGACACTGCGGATGACTGCATCAATTGGCGGATTAACGTAAAATTAAATATCGGCGGAAAAATTGTTGAATCGTGATTACGACGAAACGCATGACACAACAGCGCACGCAAAGAGCAAATGCAAATGCAAAGTGCAAGTGAATGCTTCAGAGTACTGTGTCAGAGTTCAGAATGCTTTAACAGAACTACTATGAAGTTCGGAAAACAATTCACAGATGTCTCCTTTACAGCTCTTTTTATAGAGTTCTTATAATACTATTTATTGTTCCAACTTTTATTTTATAATCCCGAAATGCGATTATTTTTCATAGATCAGCTAGATAGAATATTAAAATTACGAGAGATGATTAATAAGCGCCTTTATGTCTACAAAACGTGGACATTGAATTATGTAGCCATCAATGTCCACGATCGTGTCGGCAATGTCCACAATTTTTTGGTTCGATTCTTCCCTATATCCATGATTATCGGTCAAAGAAATTATATAACCTCTTTGATATCGGTCCATTAGACAGACAAAGACAAACAATTGATCGAAATAGAAATGGCTATGCATGCACAATAAATAAACGCTAGTAAACGCATTTTACATGCTTTTTATGATTATTTACTGGCTGACAAGAGGAGTAAATTTTCTTTATTTACAAAAGGCATACCAGAAACTTTAATGTATTATTATTTGTTTATGACGTCACAATCCAATGTTAGTCGCAGCGATTACTCAAAGAAGAATTAATTTATTGTAGTAATTAACAATTACTAATTATTGGTAAAGGGAAAATTAATAATTTTTTATTTTACTTATATCGTCCTTAATATTCATTTTTATTCACATCGTTCTACACGTTATATTGATACTACATGCGAACAAAGGGTGGAGAGACGTAAATAAAAAATCATAAAATAGAAAAATGTAAAATCACCGTTATTTATTGATACAGTCCACCTTTCGTACATGTATTTAATTTTGTACGTTAACTAGGCTCACACTCATAATGTTCTCAGCTTGGGATAAGAGACTCAATTGTATTTCAGTTTTTGAACATGGCCAGACACACTACCGCGTCTCCTGATATGAAATTTTACATTTTTTTTTAGCATGGCATCTCAATTATTTAACATAGCATTTATTAATACTTCTAAATGTCGCTTCTCTTCGAAATAAGATTTTATTAAATATTTACAAGTCAATAGTTATCTGTGCAATTTAAATTACAAAACGTATATCGCTTTATCATGAAGAGAAAAAACAAATATTTAATAAATTTTATCTTTGTTTTTTTAAAAACACGCTAGTATGTAATTTCTCTCTCTCTCTCTCTCTCTCTCAAACAGATGTACGGACGATTTCGACGGTAACAGGAAAAAAGCCGATATGAATTCATTTAATTGTTTAAATTGGTATTTAATTTTCATAAATATGAATACAGTTTCTAGCCTATATTCAGAATGTGTTTCAATGTTTGAAACTTTACAGTAACGTGAATTATGTTTTAAATACGCACTATCATCGTAAAATTGCGTTTTAAATATATGCCAACTTCTCTGTCCTCGAGAACCACACACTACACAGCATCAAAATCTGAAAATTACTGAACATTTTGCGCGTCGCGTTTTATATACTTCAATAGAAAGCTAGCGGTGCATGGCGGTGCAGAGCATCGAGCCGCATCGCGCTCATTGGTTGACTGCGAGTGGTGGGGTTCGAGTCTGATCGGAGCATATAAATACCGCGCGTAATTCGCAATTTCACGCATTTGCGCTTCGGTTCGGCCAGAGGACGGGTGTTTACCTGTCATATAACGTTGGAATAGTTCGCAACTCTGGCGATCGAATCGATTACGATTGGATACCTTTCATCCTAAAAGGAATTGAATTCTGAAGAAGCATCCTGATCACCCTGATCCCGATTTCCTGCGTAGAAGCATCCTGAATCCTGATTCTGATGCAGAGAATCTCATTGAGAAGATACAACGACGAGAAGCGGCTCATAGGATCATAGGACTACTGGATTTGATCAACGAGGTAACTAATTAATAAATAAATATTAAATTATGTGTTAATACATTTATACGCGTGACGCGAGAAATATTTTAAGAACCTATCGCTTATTTAAACACACGCGCAAAACTTGTTGGCTACGGTTTGATACGAAATTTAATTAAAGTTCATGCATTTATTTTTGAAAACGTTTCAAACATTGCGTAGGTTCTAGTACTAGTATAATACATTGATTATTCGGCTGAAAACATTTTTTTCAATACGATTCGGTTGAAAATCAAAACGCATGAACAATCGTGTCGCTGCGCGAGTCACCGCGTCGCTTTTTCCGCGTGAAGTTAAATGTGTATGGAAACGACGCCACTTACCTATTTCGACCGCATTTACGTTTT